GGAATGAAAACAGACCAGGGGTTTTCCCAGAGAATAAAGCCGGAAAAGTTTGATTCTCCACTGGACTGCTGTGTTTGGATTTGATCTGTTGTTAGATTCTAGTTAATACTTTTGTTTTTAACAACTGAGGACAAATGAACAAAAAACCTTGTATCATGTTTGTTTTTATTTATAAGTTAGCCAATCCCAATTCCTTTTGCCTTATTTTCAAATAAAAAAAGACGGAAATTTTGAGGGGTGGTGTGGGGTGAATATGGTAAAATGGGGCTTTAGGCCTTATAGCTTTTTATTAAGAAATAAATTATTTTTTTTATTTGGGAAGGTAACTATTTATTGAGGCATTGAAAAACCTCTCCATTCTAAGGATGAGAGACCCTGAGACAATGGATATTTTTTATAGGAGATAGTGAAGTTTGTTTTGCTTCATTCTTTTGGGGAGGGACTTGGTGGGATGAGGGGAGGTGAAGGAATAATGCCTGGGAAATTAATATAGATTCAGCTTGGTTTGTGGTATTTTGGGAGGATGAGGGAATAGAAGAGGCAAGCCCATGTCGTTACTGGGTTAGAGAGAAGGAAAGAAGGGACATATGGCCTGCACTCGAAATGGGCAGAAAAATTGCTTAGTTAAGGAGGGGTGTGTGAGTGAAGGGGGAAGGTAGACCCTTTAACCCCACGTGAGGGATGATATCATCTCTCAGGCTTAAATTTAAGTGCACTTAGTTCCTTTAATCCAGGGCAACTGGGGTACCTACTGAAGTTTTTAATGGAGAGGGGAGATTTTCAGGGTTCTTGTTTTTCCCTTTTTGATGTTAGACAGTGCTACTCCCTCCCTGCTATGCCTGCCCTATCTCCAGTGGAGTATTACTGTAGGTTAGGCCTCTGCATCTTCCTTAACCTATGCTGCATTTATTGAAAGTTACAAGATTTAACCAGAAGTCTTTCCTCCATACTGGTTTTTATCAACAAAATAAAAAGATTATATCCAAAGATTTTTTTTAAAGATTCAGTCTTTTTAAGGAGTGGGGATGGTGTTAAACTCAGTGCTGTAGAGGGCCATGGAAAGGAAGTACCTTGCGTCTATTAGCTCAGCTTTGCTTTTTTTTTTTTTTTCTCTATCAAGCAAAACTGAGGCCCACAGACAAACAAGAATTAGCAGTGACTGGCCGGGCGCGGTGGCTCACGCCTGTAATCCCAGCACTTTGGGAGGCCGAGGCGGGCGGATCACGAGGTCAGGAGATCGAGACCATCCTGGCTAACACGGTGAAACCCCGTCTCTACTAAAAATGCAAAAAATTAGCCGGGCGAGGTGGCGGGCGCCTGCAGTCCCGGCTACCCGGGAGGCTGAGGCAGGAGAATGGCGTGAACCCGGGAGGCGGAGCTTGCAGTGAGCCGAGATCGCGCCACTGCACTCCAGCCTGGGCGACTGAGCCAGACTCCGTCTCAAAAAAAAAAAAAAAAAGAATTAGCAGTGACTTCATGTTGTATATCTGCAGGGGGTTACTGAGCCCAAAAGGAGGCTGGTTTTGAATGTGTTCTGAGAACCTAGCTTTTGCCATTCTTACTCCTTTTAGCCACGTGTCCAAGGTTCCAGTCACTTTTTTTTTTTTTCCCCTCAGTAAAGAATATTTCAGAGATGATTGTCTCTGAATTACTCAGACACCTCTGGACTCTGAGTCTTCTTTCTTTTTTTTTTTCTTTTTCTTTTTTTTTTTTTTTTGAGACAGAGTCTCCCTCAGCTGCCTAGGCTGGAGTGCAGTGGTGCGATCTCGGCTCACTCCAACCACCGTCTCCTGGGTTCAAGCGATTCTCCCATCTCAGCCTCCCAAGTAGCTGGGATTACAGGTACCCGCAATCATGCACGGCTAATTTTTGTATTTTAGTAGAGACGGGGTTTCACCATATTGACTAGGCTGGTCTTGAACTCCTGATTTCAGGTGATCCGCCAGCCTTGGCCTCCCAAAGTGCTGGGATTACAGGCATGAGCCACCGTGCCCGGCCTCTGTGTCTTCCTTCTCCAATGAGTCAGTGCCCCAGACATACAGCCACAGGTGAGAAGGCAGAATTAGAAGCCCCTTCCCGGCCTGGAATCACCTGCACGCCAGATTTTTCTAATTTCCTTCTTTCCCTCCAGGCCTTTCAACTATAGATTTGGATGAGTCATGCAGGCATTCTGTCTTTTTTACTTTGCAGACACCCCATCTGCAAATCACAGGGTATTTTGCCCCCATACGTTGGTTGGGTAACAAAATATTACGATGTCCCCATGTAGACTTTCTCCGTGCCACCTCCTGCATTGGCCAAATGGGTAAGGGGCAGTAGAAAAGAGCAACGGAAGCTGGCTGGTAGCAGTGAAGAGGAGTGGGGGTGGGAAGGACCTTGGCCTCTTTCTGTGCTTGTAACTGGATCTGTGACTCATCTTATGAGTCACTCAGCTCCACCTCCCTCCTCCGGCTGCCCCTCCCAGCAGCCTTTACTCCTGGCACAAACCTGCAGCCAGACCAGGATTCTGAAAATGGAAAAATCTGACATAGCCCCTTGCCTCTCCACCCTGGTCTTCATCTAGTACTTCTGCTGGGGGTGTGTGGGATGGGGACAGGCAGCCTTAACCCTCAGCTCCTGCCCACTCCATTCCTGGTTAAGTATTGATCCAAGTCGCCCAATTTTTTTCTCCTAATTTCCCCCGACCCCCCACTTTTTTTTTTTTATTATTTGAGACGGAGTTTCGATCTTGTCGCCCAGGATGGGGTGCAATGGCGCGATCCCGGCTCACTGCAACCTTTGTCTCCTGGGTTCAAGCGATTCTCCTGCCTCCTCAGCCTCCCAAGTAGCTGGGATTACAGGCACCCACCAGCACGCCTGGCTAATGTTTTTTTCTTTTTCTTTTTCTTTTTTTTTTGAGACGGAGTCTCGCTCTGTCGCCCAGGCTCGAGTGCAGTGGCAAGATCTCAGCTCACTGCAAGCTCCGCCTCCCGGGTTCACGTCATTCTCCTGCCTCAGCCTCCCGAGTAGCTGGGACTACAGGCGCCCGCCATCTCGCCTGGCTAGTTTTTTGTATTTTTTTAGTAGAGACGGGGTTTAGCCAGGATGGTCTCGATCTCCTGACCTCGTGATCCGCCCGTCTCGGCCTCCCAAAGTGCTGGGATTACAGGCGTGAGCCACCGCGCCCGGCCTTTCTTTTTTCTTTCTTTCTTTCTTTTTTTTTTTTTTTTTAGTAGAGTTGGAATTCACCATGTTGGTCAGGCTGGTCTCGAATTCCTGACCTCAGGTGATCCACCCACCTCAGCCTTCCAAAGTGCTAGGATTACAGGCATGAGCCACCGCCCCCACACTCCCTCGCCCGATATTTTTTCCTCCGTGTTCCTCCACTGTCTCCACACCTCAAAGTGCTAAATAATAGAATGAGGCTGTTGAATAAAGGATGGTGGTGAGAAGGAAAGTGGATAATGGGATTTAAAAGTTATGGTACACACCTCTTCCTATGCTTTTTTTTTGAGATGGAGTCTTGCTCTGTTGCCCAGGCTGGAGTGTAGTCATGAGATCTTGGCTCACTGCAACCTCTGCTTCCTGGGTTCAAGCGATTCTCCTGCCTCAGCCTCCCAAGTAGCTGGGATTATAGGTGTGAGCCACCACACCTGGCTAATTTTTGTGTTTTCAGTAGAGATGGGGTTTCACCATGTTGGCCAGGTGGTCCTGAACTCCTGACCTCAAGTGATCTGCCTACCTTGGCTTTCTAAAGTGCTTGGGATTACAGGCGTGAGCCACTGCGCCCAGCCCCTATTTTCTTTTTACAACAGACTTTGGGAAGTATTTTCTCTCCCCAAGAGGTTGAGGCCCATGGAATGCATTGGGGGGAGGTGGGGTGGTGGTGCTCTGTAGCCTTTAGGACTTCTAGAATCAGGCTTCTGGGCCACCTTCCTAGCAGGTGTATACCTCTTTGTTGCAGACTGACTTCCTGTCTCACAATATCTTCACTATTTCCACAGTTGCAGCCAAGACAGGAAACTGAAAGCTGAGGCCAGAAGGGTGGTGTACTGGGGGGAGGGGAAAATTGAGTGTCACTTTGGAAAACTGGTGCCCCCACCTAAGGATTGCTCCCTCTGTAGATTCAAAAGCAATAAAACAGCAGCTCATTAACTCTTATTTTGTATTTTATTTTCTGTCTTTTTCATGTCTAAATAAAGATTTTGCTTTGCTGTCCCCAAGTCCCCCTCCTTTAAAGGAGCTGCAGCTCCTTGACTTCTCTCCTTGTTCCCAGCTTTTCTTACCCATCTTTGCTTCTTGGGTTGCAGATGGGAGGGACGGGGGATGGACTGTTGAGCTGAAGAGAGGTTTCCAGCCCTCACCTGTGAAAGCCCTGAACATGAATCATTCATTTGGAGATCTGGTGTCTGGGTTGGAGGGGTGGAGTCACATACGGGAATGGGCACCAATTGGTTGTGTATCTACGTGACGGGCAAGATTAACTGATAAGAACTTTTTGTCCCACCCGCATCCACAAGACTTGCACACAAGCATACTTCTACTTGTGCCTGCATCTTGGACACATTTCCATCTCTTTTTATACTTCTCCACTGCACTCTTCACATGATGTCTGTGTCATGCCCTCTAGAGAAAGACATGCAAAACCACTTTAACCAGTTTCCCTGCTTCCCCACCTAATTCCCCCCAGGTCTAATTTTCATTTTCTTCTGGAAGAGGGGACAAGGAGGCTTGAACCACTTTCACATTCCTACCCCTCTCCCTGCCCCAAACCCCTTTGAGAAGACAAAAGAACTGAGCTTCCAAGGGAAGTCATCACTGAGACACTCCAGAGAGGTAGCCCAAATGATTCCAGCTTCATAATCAAGAGAGCTGCTCCCCTCAAACAGTCCCCAGTACTCATGAACAGGAAGAGAACAGGGTCTGGGATTGGGGTAAAGAAGAGAGTCGATATTTTTCTCTCAGTCCCCATTTCTCCCCAACCCGTCCGTCTCAGATTCCACCGTTTCCTCTCCACTTTTCCAGAATTGTGTGTATTCTCCTTTAAGGGGCTGGGCATCTCTCCCGCCCTCTCCAGAGTCGACTGAAGTTTCCGAGGAGACTTCTCAGGCTGGGCTGGACACACCTTTCCAAGGACCCCCACACTCTGCTCCGTGCACCTCAAATGCTCCTTTCCCTTGTGTCCAACCCCCTACCCCTCTCCCTAACTGCCCTCTTCTCAACAAGACTCAGCCTCTCCCTGAGGTGGGTGAGCATCCTTGAGGTTTCCCACCCTTAACTGCTCCGTCCCCGGATGGAGCCAGAGAAATGTGGTGGGGGGGCCGGGGCCAGAGTTTCAACATTGCCCCCCAGAAGGAGGAGCCAGAGATGGGGGTAAGGAGAAGGAATTTGGGGGGGTGTCGGCAAGAGGGTGAGAATGGGGATGAGGTGGAGATAAAAGGGGGAAGCAAAGGTTCTAGAGGAGGAGGAGGGTGTGTCTGTCCTATCAGCTTCTGCTGATGGAGCCTGGTCTGTCTGTTTCGTAGTCTCAAGTTCGTTGTCTCATTATCCATTAACCAGCCCCTCCCTTTGCTGTCTGCCAGCCCTGGTAGGTCTGGAGCTCCCCACAGACACTGATCTCAGTTTCCCCCGAGAGTGTGAGTGTAGGCCTCTAAAGGCAGCTACCTTTGGGGAGTTGGGGAGCCTAGGGGTTAACTCTAGACCCCCCTCAACTCTCTGGACCAAAGTCTGTCCAGGAAAGCAGGATGCCGGAGCCCAGGAGTCGTCAGCCTAGCAGTTGCCTGGCCTCCAGATGCCTCCCAGGTAATAATGCCCTAGCACTCTCCAAAGACTCTTCCAAATTTCATCCTACACCAATCTCGTTTCATGCCCTCACCAAAGATACCCCTGTGTTCCTCTCCTGGCTCAAAGTACTTCTGCCTGAGGCTCACTGTCCTCCCCAACGGCCTCTAGAGCTGGCTGACAGCTGGACCTTGACATTCCTTCTGTTTCCTTGACCCTGTTACCCCTTTTCAAATTTACTTATTCAATACATAGTTAGTGCCTGCTATGTGTCAGGCCCTGTTCTAGGCTCTGTTCTAGTTACAGAAATTTAAATATATATATATACACACACACACACACACACATCTTTCCTCTTCATAAGCTTACATTGTAGTAGGCTTTGGGGAGGATTTTAATCTTCCCTATTTAGATCTCCCTTTCTCAGAGGGGTGGGTGTATCCAAGTGTGGGCAACACTGGGAATAGTCATAACGGGGCTTCCCTTCTTCCCTTTAGGGGAGCAGATCCTAGCATGGGCCCCAGGGGTGAGGAAGGGGCTGGAACCCGAATTGTCTGGAACCCTGATCTGTACCAACTTTAGGGTCACCTTCCAGCCCTGTGGATGGCAGCAGAATCAGGTGAGATGGTTGGGGAACAGAAATGACAGCTAGTGGGAAATGGGTAGGGGAGTCTAGCAGGATTTAGACAAACATTATGGGTTAAGGGCTGTCTTTTGAATGTGTCATTGATAATTGTGGAAACTCTCTCTAGGGTAGTTGCACCCTAGGGGTTGGGGCTGCCAGAGTAGGAAAATGAGGGCCATTTCCGATGTCTACCCAGTCACATGCTTCCTCTAGGACACTCCCTTAAGCAGTGAATATGATTTTGCCCTGGTCAACATTGGGCGATTAGAGGCTGGTAAGTTGGGGGGGTTTGGTGAAGGGGTTCACTGGGGGTGTTGGAACTCCCTCCTCCTCATCTTCCTATATTCTCAGAAAACAGCAGGGATGGAGTGGGATGGGCTGGAAGAGTCCCTTCTGGAGGGACCCTGGTCCATGGTTACACTGCTCTGTACCTCTTCACTTCAGTGAGCGGCTTGTCCCGAGTCCAGCTCCTCCGTCCAGGGTCCCTGCTTAAATTTATCCCTGAGGAGATTATGATTCATGGCCGAGACTTCCGGCTACTCAGAGTTGGTTTCGAGGCTGGAGGCCTAGAGCCTCAGGCTTTTCAGGTAAGAGGCCCCTAACCTGAGGCTTCCTCCTCATCTCAGAACCTTGGGATCCTCTCACTGACAATTTCCGAGATTCCTCCAGTCCCTGGGATCCTCTCATCATTCCCCCTGCTTCTCTCAAGGAAAGGCTAAAAGGCTGGGATAAATGATTGTGTGATGAGAGTAAAGAGCCTGTGCTCTAGCCTTACTCTATTAATTACCAGCAGTGTGACTCTGGGCGAGTTTCCTCCTCTGAAAAACCAGGATTCCTCCCAGAATCATCATTCTAGGATTCTGTGGTTCCAGATTTGTTCTCCCGACCCAGTCCCCATGACCTGAGGAAGCCCCCTTCTCTAGGGACTTTCTTCACTGTTCTTCTTTATTATTGGCAAAGAGAGTGGAGCAACACATGTGCTCCATTTCCTTCTTTTCACTTACTCAGCCTAAGCCAAAGGATGGAATGTCCTCTCCTCCACAGGTGACCATGGCCATTGTCCAAGCCAGAGCTCAGAGCAATCCAGCCCAACAGTATTCGGGGATAACCCTGAGCAAGGCTGGTGAGTGAGAGTACTTTAGGGTAAGGAAAAATCTGAAAAAGCAGAGGATGGCTGACGACAAAGAGCTGAGAAGCTGTCTCCGATTTTCTCCTTCCTCCTCTATGTCTCACTCCTGTTCTAGGCCAGGCTTCTGGCTCCAGAAAACCACCAGTTCCTCTCATGGAGACAGCGGAAGACTGGGAGACTGAGCGGAAGCAGCAGGCAGCCAGAGGCTGGAGAGTCAGCACGGTCAACGAGAGGTTTGACGTAGCCACCAGGTGATGCCCCATGCACCCCAACCCTGCTGCTCTCTCAATCTTCCCTTAGTTCCTTGATCCTCTAAAGCTAGGACTTCCCACAAACTCCAGCCTCCTAGACACCCACAAAGCTATCTCCCTTACCTCCTAGATCCCTAAACCTGAAATCCCTTGGAATGGTCCCTCCGAAGCAGCTTCCTTGTAATAACAGCTTTACGTTGTAATGAAGTCACTGAGCCAAACCGTAATACCACTCTCATTTCACAGCCTCCCCCGTTACTTCTGGGTCCCTAACCGAATTCTGGACAGTGAGGTCAGGAGAGCATTTGGCCACTTTCATCAGGGCCGTGGACCGGTCAGTGTGAGGGTTAGGGTAATGGCTGTGGATTAGAGGGTCATGGGAGGCCAGGGACAATGTGGAGGGAGGAACCTCTGTGAGGTCTGTGTGGGGGCAAGGGTAGCGTGCAGCTAGGTGTTTCTCCCACAATGACCCTCTTCTGCCCCATGTGAAGCGCTTGTCCTGGCATCACCCTGGGGGCAGTGATCTTCTCCGCTGTGGAGGCTTCTATACAGCCAGCGACCCTAACAAGGAGGATATCAGGTGAGGGAGGCTTGATGAGAAGAATCAAGGGTTAGGTGCTCAGGGCAGACTCCTTCTCTTATTTCCTGACTCCCTCCCCTCCAGAGCAGTGGAGTCGATGCTCCAGGCTGGGCATTCAGATGTTGTCCTGGTAGACACTATGGATGAGCTGCCCAGCCTTGCAGATGTCCAACTTGCCCACCTGAGGCTGAGGGCCCTCTGCCTGCCTGGTGAGAATAACCTTTGACCCCTCACCCTCACCCCTAGGTCTGCTGAGCCTAACCTGGTTTACCCTTTGCTTGCTGTAGATGAGTAGCTCTTTAGTCCAATGAGCCTGTTTTCTTTTCTTTTCTTTTTTTTTTTTTTTTTTTCTTGAGACAGAGTCTCGGCTGGGCATGGTGGCTCACACCTGTAATCTCAGCACTATGGGAGGCCGAGGCAGGTGGATCACCTGAGGTCAGGAGTTTGAGACCAACCTGGCCAACGTGGTGAAACCCTGTTTCTACTAAAAATAAAAAAAAATAAAAAAAATAAAAATTGGTTGGGTGCGGTGGCAGATGCCTGTAATCCTGGCTACTTGGGAGGCTGAGGCATAGAGAATCGCTTGAACCCAGGAGGTGGGTGAACTGAGAATGTGCCATTGCATTCCAGCCTAGGCGACAAGAGTGAAACTTGTTTAAAAAAAAAAAAGGCCAGGTGCGGTGGCTCACGCCTGTAATCCCAGAACTTTGGGAGGCCGAGGTGGGCGGATCACAAGGTCAGGAGATCGAGACCATCCTGGCGAACATGGTGAAACCCCGTCTCTACTAAAAATACAAAAAAATTAGCCGGGCGTGGTGGCGGGCACCTGTAGTCCCAGCTTCTAGGGAGGCTGAGGCAGGAGAATGGCGTGAACCCGGGAGGCAGCGGAGCTTGCAGTGAGTGGAGATCGCGCCACTGCAACCTCCAACTCCCACGTTCAAGAGGTTCTCCTGCCTCAACCTCTCTAGTAACTGGGATTATAGGCGCCTGCCACCATGCCTGGCAATTTTTGTATTTTTAGTAGAGACGAGGTTTCACCATGTTCCCCGTGTTAGACTAGGCTGGTCTCGAACTCCTCAGGTGATCCACCCACCTCGTCCTCCTAAAGTGCTGGGATTATAGGCATGAGTCACCGTGCCTGGCCAGTGAGACTGTTTTCTACTCACCTCCCATCTCTCCCACCTCTCCCACAGACTCACTGATTTCCTGTCTTCTTGACCCCAATTTATTCTTTTTTAAACAGCTTTATTGAGACATAATGTACATACCATAAAATTTACCCTTCACTGAAGTATACAATTCAGTGAGTTTTATTGTATTTACAATGTTGTACAACCATCACCACAGTTTAATTTTAGAAAACCATCCTGGCCATTTACAATTACTTTTCATTCCTATTCTTAACCCAGCAGGCTATCAACCTGAATCCTGAATCCTGAGTTCTAATCTCTTTGCCCTTCTGATCTTTCTACCCTCTATCAGATTCATCTGTGGCTGAGGATAAATGGCTTTCAGCCCTGGAAGGAACACGATGGCTGGACTATATCAGGTACTCCTTCGCTTCTTCTAGCCATCATTTATAATTCAACCTTCTGCAACCTTCTGTTAACTTGGGCTCCTAAATGGCCTTTCTTTAGTTCTTCTCCTCAGCTTCCCAAGAAGACTGCCATTTTCTGCTTTTTAGAAGAAAGAGGGGTAGGATTTGGAGTCGGCCTTATTCCATCCCATGACCCATCACTCCATTCCCCTAGGCTTATCATTTTTCCTCCCTCTTCCTCATCTGCTCCTCCAGGGCTTGTCTTCGAAAGGCCAGTGACATTTCAGTATTAGTGACATCCAGGGTTCGTTCTGTAATACTTCAAGGTGAGTTCCTTGGGTAAGCCCATTCCATTCTTTGCCTCTTTTCTTTACCCGATTGCATTCAGGGAGGGAGACCCATAAGGCTTCTTCCTCTCCTGTTCCTGGGAACTACCTGCGAGTTCTACTCTCATCCTTCAGTGCTATCTCTGCCTCCCCATCACACCTTGTGGTCCCTGACACTAGGATGGTCTTAGCCCCTTTGTTCCTTTCCTTCCATCGGTGGATGGGGACTGGGGTTGGGGTGGGAAGGGCAGTGTGGAAGCTGGTTTGAGAATTGTGATTCTGCCCCTTACATGTGAAACTGGGTATTTCTATCCGGGTGGAGTCTAGGACGTGAATCATTCAAGGTCTTTGTTTTTTCTTCACTTCTATGTGCTCTCTCAATCCTTCCTACCCGAAACCTTTCCCCGCTGTGCCTCTCACTTCTCATTGCCATACTTCTCTTCTCATTCTCTTCTGCCCTAGTTTCTTGGACCCCTCTTCTTTGTCCCTTCTTCCTCTTTATCACCCAGAGCGCGGTGATCGTGATCTCAATGGCCTCCTCTCTTCACTCGTCCAGCTGCTTTCAGCCCCCGAAGCCCGAACACTGTTTGGCTTCCAATCCCTAGTGCAGCGAGAGTGGGTGGCAGCTGGACATCCCTTCCTGACTCGGCTTGGGGGAACTGGGGCCAGTGAAGAGGTGAGAACAATATGGGATGGCATCGGGGGGATATTACTAAAGAAGTAAGAGAATGAGAAAATTATTTTGTATAATTCACTGGAGGTGAATCCAGTCAGAAGGGCCCCGAGGTTAGGCTGAGATGAAGATCCTGATGAGTGAGGCCTCATAAGCCCCTGCTACCCTCAATTCAGATTTTCATTCCCCAACCTCCATAGTGCCCCCTATTCCCATATCATCTCGTCATCCCCCCTCTTCGGGTCCCAATAATCCCTTCCAACCTCTTAATTTCTCTCTTTTCAGGCTCCGGTGTTTCTCCTCTTCCTTGATTGTGTCTGGCAGCTCCTCCAGCAGTTTCCAGCTGATTTTGAATTCTCTGAGTTTTTCCTTCTTGCTCTTCATGACAGCGTCAGGGTTCCTGACACCCTTACCTTCCTGAGAAATACCCCCTGGGAGCGCGGAAAGCAGAGCGGACAGGTCAGTGACTTCTATTTTTGACTCGTGTTGTTTTTTTTTTTTTTTTCCATTGAGATGTAGTCTCTGAAGTTTGGTCTTGATTTGTTTTATGAGAAGTGAGGTCTGTGGGTGGGGAGGGAGAGATTTAGTCTCATTTTCAGGACAGGACTTTTGCCCTATATCTTTCCTAGAATAAGAGGTGAGAATCTCATGATTTGTCTCTAGATGTGGGAGGATTGCGTGTAACCATCCTTTTTCTTGCTTCCTCTGTCCAGTTAAACTCCTATACACAAGTCTACACCCCAGGATACTCCCAGCCCCCAGCTGGGGACTCTTTTAACCTGCAGCTGTCTGTCTGGGACTGGGATTTACGCTATAGCAATGCACAGATACTACAATTCCAGAATCCTGGCTATGACCCAGAACACTGTCCAGATTCCTGGCTCCCTAGACCGCAGGTGAAGTGTCTAAACTTCCTAAATTCCCTTGACGTTCCCACAGGCTCATGCTACTAGACAGTGAGAAGTGAAAGACACAATGTCTTGAGTTCCTTAGGGAAAGCTACTCCACTACTCTTCTGCAGCTGTCACTTATAGTCCCTGGGTGTCCCTAGGAAGACAAAAGTCCTAGAATAGCACAGGGGGCACCCTTTTTGTCCTTCCTCAAGTCTGTTTACTCATCTTCCTGTCTCATGCACACATAAGTTGCCCTAAAATCAACCTTAATCAGTCCTGAGGCTTAGTTGAAGCCTAATGAGGAGGGTAGAAGAGTTCTCATGGGAAGGCTTGTAGTTCTAGTCACCAGTACAGTGAGTGGATGGCGGCAGGACACCCTATCCCGATCCAGATTGGGGAAACTAGGGTTATCTGGTCTCTCTGTTGCCAGTTGATTTCCTTTTCCCTTTAGCCAAGCTTCATGGTTCCTGGACCCCCCAGTTCTGTGTGGCTCTTCTCTAGAGGAGCATTGACCCCCCTGAATCAGCTCTGTCCTTGGCGGGACAGTCCCTCCCTGCTGGCAGTCTCTTCTCGTTGGCTCCCTCGACCTGCTATCTCCTCTGAAAGCCTGGCTGACCAGGAATGGGGTCTCCCCTCACATTGGGGAGCTTGCCCTTTACCTCCAGGGCTGCTGCTGCCTGGATATCTGGGACCCCAGATCAGGTTCTGGAGACGCTGCTACCTGAGGGGAAGGCCTGAGGTCCAGGTAAGAAGGCAAAATAAGACTGGGAGTGGGAGAAGGGACTTGACTCTGCTGAACCAGATGAACAGGAGCTGGAAAGGCAAGGAGCTGAAGGCTGGGGAGGCTGGGAAGTGAAGTTCTACTCCTCTTGGTATCAAACAGGGTTTGGGAGTGTAGGAGGTGCGGGAAAGTGCTTGTGGCTTAGATTAAGTGGAATTTAGGGCACAGCTGGAAAGGGAAACAGAATTAAAGACACCAGAAGTAGCAGAGAGGCAGGGGGCCAGAGCTACAACAGTATTCCTCTCTGTTCCTCTTTGCCTCCTCCCCAGATGGGCCTCTCAGCTCCCACAATCTCTGGCCTCCAGGATGAGCTATCCCATCTTCAGGAGCTATTACGGAAATGGACACCAAGAATATCTCCTGAAGTTCACTCCAAGAAAAGAGATCCACATACCATTCTCAATCCCACTGAAATTGTGGGCATTCTCAAAGGCAGGGCAGAGGGGGATCTGGGGTAGAGAAGGGTTCTGTCTAATCCTTTTTTTTTTGTATCTGGACTTGCAGCCTCAGCTTTCACACTCCAGCCCTTAAGTTCACTAAGAAGGTCTGAGTTTCTGCTGCAGATGGTGGTGTTAACTGCTCCAACTCTTGTCCTGTCTTGCTTAGTTCCTACGGATATTTTTGTTTCTTGTCATTTGAAGGATTAAGAAACAAAACAATCCAGAAATTGATCGTTTTTTTAGGCCAATTCCATCCCTTCTGGATAACCAGATGTTAAATCGTGAGATCAGAGATGCTGTTCATCAGTCCCAACAAGATGGCCTAGAGATCGCATTCTCACCTCGCCTTGCTGCTGCTTTAAGTCCAACTTCTATTTCTTCCCTTATAGTTTTCTACGGGAATGAGGCGGATACAGGAAACACCCTGTCTCCTCTGTATTTTTGTAGCGGAATTTTCTATTTAAGGGGCTCATTAAAGCATAGTATTTATACACGTTGCTGGCATTGTTTCTTGTGTTTGAATAAAGGATTCTCCTAGGTAGGAAAGTGGTGGGTAAAAGGTGGGTATGACCCAAGAGAGGAAGGCATCTACCATATTATTGCTAAGGAAATAGGGGAACTGGATTTGGTGAGACTCTGCAGAATTCAAGTGCAGTTTGGGGAAAGGATTCTCGTGTGTGTCTCCCATTTAGAGGCAGATGGGGCCAGATTGTTCTAGAGATCCAGACTGAAGTCTCTGAGCTCCGATCCCCTCCACCCCTCACCTGTGGTCACACACCACCTTGGAGCAGTCCTCACCCTCCCCATGCAATTACGACGAGATAAGCGCAGACGTCACTCCAGCTCAGACATTTCGCAGTCTCCTCCCCTGAGGGAAAACCAAATACCTCCAGCCCAAATCAGGGCTGTTGAGGCCAAATCTGCAAGAAGGTTGCAGGCGAGATGGAAGGTTCCCTCTGCGCCTGAAAGCAGCCAGGTCCTCGGGTTGGGGGGACTCTTCAGCACATCCTTCTCTGGACGACAAAAGATCATCACTGGCTACAAAATATATGAAAACTGAAGTTTTTGTTCTTTTAGCTTTCGAATTTACATTTTTGGGAGCAGTGTGATTCTTTCAAGTCTAGCAGTGCATTAACACGGTCTGAGCGTTTCCGTTCCGCCCTCCTCGCTAAGACCACTAGCAGCGGCACCTCAGCGTGGGAGCAGAGGACTCCACCGCCCAACCCGGGTTAAATCTGGGAGGCTCCTAAGATGGCTGCAGCCGCTTCCAGGCACCTCCTCTTCCGCGGCTCCGCCCACCGCTACGTCCGCCTTCGCCCCGGAAGTGGAAGTCGTGCTGCGGTCAGAAGGCGGAACCGCTGCTGGGAGACGGCGGGAGCTCTATCGCCATGGCTGCCGGGCCGATCTCCGAGCGGAACCAGGGTAACTGGAGGGGGAAAGTCTGGAATGGACTCAGCGTGGCTAGGAGGCCCCTACTACAGCCAGAAGTGCCTCTGCAGGGGTGGGAGACTGGACTCATCCCTTCCCCAGAGGGCGCGAGACCGGCCCCGTGCCTCCTGGGGGCGGGGTGGCCAGGTGCTGGCTGAGGACCTGAGGCCTGTGGGTGTGATACTTACGTCCAGTCCCCTGCTGAGTTCTCACTCAAAAAAAACAAAAAAATCCACTGAGAATACTAAATTAGACTTCAGAGGATTCCCGAAGTCCTGGGAAGAGAGAAGTTTAAGGGTTTAACTTTTTTTTTTGCTCCTGTCCCCTACCCGCGTCCCCAGTTCCCCTAGTTGGGTTCCATCTTCATGTTTCCATCACCTCCTTCTCTCCTGTTATACTCTCACCCTTGCTCTAACTTTCTGCTCCCTCCCTTCAGATGCCACGGTGTATGTGGGGGGCCTGGATGAGAAGGTTAGTGAACCACTGCTGTGGGAACTGTTTCTCCAGGCTGGACCAGTAGTCAACACCCACATGCCAAAGGATAGAGTCACTGGCCAGCACCAAGGTGAGTATATGACAAGGGGCAGATTGCTTCTGGAGGGTCCCAGCAGTATTCACAACTGTTTTGGAATAACATGAGCAACCTAAAGTATTTCTTTTTCTGGAACCATTCTTAAGTGAGGTTGTTTCTTTCTTGTTCTTTGTGATTAGAGGGTAGATGAGTTTTACCCCATTTTCAATCTCTTATGTTGTTAACCTCCTCTTCTCCACTTCTCCAGGCTATGGCTTTGTGGAATTCTTGAGTGAGGAAGATGCTGACTATGCCATTAAGATCATGAACATGATCAAACTCTATGGGAAGCCAATACGGGTGAACAAGGCATCAGCCCACAACAAAAACCTGGATGTAGGGGCCAACATTTTCATTGGGAACCTGGACCCTGAGATTGATGAGAAGTTGCTTTATGATACTTTCAGCGCCTTTGGGGTCATCTTACAAACCCCCAAGATTATGCGGGACCCTGACACAGGCAACTCCAAAGGTTATGCCTTTATTAATTTTGCTTCATTTGATGCTTCGGATGCAGCAATTGAAGCCATGAATGGGCAGTACCTCTGTAACCGCCCTATCACCGTATCTTATGCCTTCAAGAAGGACTCCAAGGGTGAGCGCCATGGCTCAGCAGCCGAACGACTTCTGGCAGCTCAGAACCCACTCTCCCAGGCTGACCGCCCTCATCAGCTGTTTGCAGATGCACCTCCTCCCCCCTCTGCCCCCAATCCTGTGGTATCATCATTGGGGTCTGGGCTTCCTCCACCAGGTAAAGCTTTTGGTTAAAATTTGTTTGTCTTAAGGTTGGGAGAGAGAGTCAGGAGGAAGAAAAAAAAAGCCTGAAAGGGGGATGGGACATGGAGTCAGTGAGTGATGGGAAGAGGACTGAGGAGTGATGGTAGTGGTGGAGAAGATTGTTGGGTTTCTTTAGGAGGGTGAAGTTGGTTGACTTTTCTAACATTGCTTTTGATTTTAGAGCACTGGGAGGAGGGGGAAAGAGCTCACCCTGCCTGGAGAGGCCAGATCAGGACAGGCTCTTTAAAGACATTTTCTCCTCACTACCATAAACTTTTACTTTTTCCATTTCCTCTATAGGCATGCCTCCTCCTGGCTCCTTCCCACCCCCAGTGCCACCTCCTGGAGCCCTCCCACCTGGGATACCCCCAGCCATGCCCCCACCACCTATGCCTCCTGGAGCTGCAGGACATGGCCCCCCATCGGCAGGAACCCCAGGGGCAGGACATCCTGGTCATGGACACTCACATCCTCACCCATTCCCACCAGGTGGGATGCCCCATCCAGGTAGGTGTGCTTTGTTGGGAGGGAAGAGCTTGGTAGAGCATCTCTGTTACCTCTCACCCTGCTGCCCTTTGTTCCTCAACAGTAACAGTTTCAGAGTTTCCTTTCCTTCAGACATTCTATTATAAAAACATACAAAATACTCTCTAACATCTACCTCCCTGAATCCATTTCTTAAGTTTTTCTGACAAGAAGACTATACTTGCTGGTTTTTATTTCTTTAACCTTTAGTTCCCTTCTCTTCTCTGACTCCATCTCAAAGTGGTGACCTAATTGCCAAATCTCAGGGACACTTCTGCTCCTTATCTAGTTTGACCTCTGATGTACTGGAAACTAGTCGTGTCCTCCTGTTTGAAATTCTTGTCTCTTTTTGCTTTTGCTTTTCTAGATCCTCCACCCCTCTCTCTTGACTCCTTAATCTCAGCTACCATGATAGACTTGTGTCTACTTGTGCCTAGATTTTTGTGCTTGTTTCTCTTTTCTGCATATATCTATAGTTTTAATTGGGTATATACTGATGCCTCCTAGATCTGTATCTCTAGTCCATAGCTGTTGACATTCCGGATCCTTAATACTTTAATGCTGCTGCTTAATAGATAGCGTCATTTTTCTGTCCCTCTCCTTCAAACTCATTCTTTCTCTAGCAGTCTTTTTTTTCAGGTGCTTAATTCATGAATCTGAGAGTGATGTTTGACTACTCCCTATTACCCCACTCTTAATACCAAGTCTTATTTAATATCGGTGGCATCTCTCCCCATGGCCAGTGCCCTAGTTCAGTCTCTCATTCCCTCATTATTTAACAGTTAATTTATTGTAGTAATCTCCTGCCACTTTGACTCCAGTTTTCCCTAACTTCGATCTACTTTCACAGAGTAGGTTTTTTAAAACACAGATGTGCACACACTTGCTCAGAATTCCTCTGTTGCTCCCTTTTACGTACAGAGTAAAACTCAAACTCATTACCATAGCATTCACAGCTCTTTATGAGCTGGCCCCTGCCCCTCATTTCTATAACTGCATTTTGCTCCTGATTACTGAGTTAACTGGCATTTCCTGGAATATACTGTGCTGTTTGACACACCTGTAATCTTTCTGCTTGGGATGCTTTCTTCCCATGATCTTACCCTTCTGAAGCATTCATCCTTTAGAACTAGATCTTTGCTTAGACAGTGTATTCTCTGCTACTTTCTCAAATCCTATCAACTCCACTTGTTACATACTTCAGCATTACTATTACAGTACCTAAATCATGGAAGAAGCAAGAGGGTAAGGAGTTGATTGAGTAATTGGTTGGTTGTGCTGTTGGAATAGGGTCAAGGATAGGGAGCACTTTTTACCACCCTTCTTTTTTATTTTTTTGTGTTTTTTTTTTTGGTGATGGGGTCTCACCCTTTCACCCAGGCTGGAGTGCAGTAGTGTAGTTTTGGTTCATTGTAGCCTTGATGTCCCAGGCCCAAGTGATCCTCCCATCTCAGCCTCCTGAGTACCTGGGACTACAGGCACGCACCACCATGCCTGGCTAATTAAAAGTATTTTTTGATAGAGATGGGTTCTCACTATGTTGCCCAGGCTGGTCTTGAACTCCTGGGCTCAAGTGATCCACCTAGGCCTCCCGAAGTGCTGGGATTATTGGCATGAGCCACTGTGCCCAGCCAGCCTTATTTTCTATACCCTTTTTTCTGTATAGTTCTCTTTCTGATGTCACTTTCTTTCTAATTTTGTTCTCTTCTTTTCTCTATTTTCTTTGCCTTCTTCTCTTTGTCTCTTTTCTTCTTGTGTCTCTTTTATTCTCATAGGGATGTCTCAGATGCAACTGGCACACCATGGCCCTCATGGCTTAGGACATCCCCATGCTGGACCCCCAGGCTCTGGGGGGCAGCCACCACCCCGACCACCACCTGGAATGCCTCATCCTGGACCTCCTCCAATGGGCATGCCCCCCCGAGGGCCTCCATTCGGATCTCCCATGGGTAAGTCATCTCTAGCCACCTCCCTCATCTGCACCTATCATGTTCTTACAGCTTCCTGTAGGCACATCCCTTGTCCCGTGCCCTTACTAACTTTTCTTTTACTCCTTGCAGGTCACCCAGGTCCTATGCCTCCGCATGGTATGCGTGGACCTCCTCCACTGATGCCCCCGCATGGATACACTGGCCCTCCACGACCCCCACCCTATGGCTACCAGCGGGGGCCTCTCCCTCCACCCAGACCCACTCCCCGGCCACCAGTTCCCCCTCGAGGCCCGCTTCGAGGCCCTCTCCCTCAGTAAATTCACATTTTTCCTTCCTCCTGTTACATCTTCCCAATATATTTTCTATTCCTTGGACCAATCAGAGATGCTGTAGCTTCTTGGGGCTAAGGTACTAATCCCTTGCAGCACCCCCACCCCATTCCCCTTTTTAATGTAACTTTTTCCACAGGAGGTATTTCTTTTTTATGTTGGTCCTGAGTATTTTGCAAATGCAGAGAGAAAATAAAACTAAACTGCTTGTTTATTTGTGGTGTTTTCTTTGACAACAGTAACTTTTTTTCTTTAAGAAGAGATGTCAGAGTATCATGAAAAGAATGGTAAGGTAGGAGTAGGAGCAAGGGTGCTCACTCCACATTTTAAAGGCTTGTTCTGTAATGTGCTGTTGCAGTTGCTGAGCTCTGCTGTGCACTAGAGTAATTGTTTCCTTACATAGAGCTTATCTTCTAGTTTGGAAGATAGGGGGACCCAATATCTATAGCGTAGGATCATCGTGTTTTTTTCTTTTTTTCTTTTTTTGGAGACATGGTCTTGCTCTGTTGCCTAGGCTGGAGTGCGGTGGCATGATCACAGCTCACTGCGCCCCCAACCTCCCAGGCTCAGGTGATTCTCCCACCAAAGCCTCCCAAGTAGCTGGGATCACAGGTGTATGCCATCACACCCAGCTAATTTTTGTATTTTTTGTAGAGGTGAGGTTTTGCCATGTTGCCCAGACTGGTTTTGAACTCCTGGGTTCAAGCGATCCCCCTGCCTCAGCCTCCCAAAGGGCTGGGATTACAGACATAAGTCACCTCGCCCAGCCAGATTATTGTTTTAAAGTGAGAACAGATGTACCTGGAGATGTCTGGCAAAAATGAAGTAACATGCACTAAGCAATTTATTGCAGCACCGTTATAATGGCAGTAGATTGGAAACAATTCACATCTCCATCAGTAAAGGGACGGGTTGAATAAACTGATAAATTCATGCAACAGAGTACTGTGCAGCTGTAAAAAGGAATGGGGATGATCTCTACATACTGCTGTGGAGAGATCTCCAAGTGAAGAAAAATAATGTGTATAGTGTGCTACCTTCTCTAAGGGTGGCATATATATTTGTATTTACCTAACGTTTTTAAAAATGGGTAAACCAGGCCGGGCGCGGTGGCTCAAGCCTGTAATCCCAGCACTTTGGGAGGCCGAGACGGGCGGATCACGAGGTCAGGAGATCAAGACCATCCTGGCTAACCCGGTGAAACCCCGTCTCTACTAAAAAATACAAAAATCTAGCCGGGCGAGGTGGCGGGCGCCTGTAGTCCCAGCTACTCGGGAGGCTGAGGCAGGAGAATGGCGTGAACCCGGGAGGCGGAGCTTGCAGTGAGCTGAGATCCGGCCACTGCACTCCAGCCTGGGCGACAGAGCGAAACTCCGCCTCAAAAAAAAAAAAAAAAAATGGGTAAACCAGCTACTCAGGAGGCTGAGGCAGGAGAATCACTTGAATCTGGGAGTTGGAGGCTGCGGTGAGCTGAGATCGCGCCATTGCATTCCAGCCTGGGCGATAGAGCGAGACTCCAACTCAAAAAAAAAAAAAAAAAAAGGGTAAACCAAACACTAATGGAAATTGATAACACTGGTGAGGGAGGGGATATTGAGGGAAGTTGGATTCAGTATACTGTGTTAATGTGTTTTTCATTTGGAACAATATAGATGTCTTACATAATACAAAACAAAGTTAAAATGAGTAAATGGAGACAGTAAATGTTCCATTTTGTTCTGTTCCTACAGATGTCTGTAAACAGTCATCTCATAAGGAGTTTGTATTTCAATTTTTTTCTCATTCACAGTCCTTCCAAACTTGATTTTCACATTTAATCTGAGTTTAAAGACTTTTCAGTAGACCAAATCCAATAACCTTTTTCTCCCCCATGTTCTTTGCCACATTGATTCTGTTAAGTCACCCCTTTCTTGATGTGCCCTCTGGCTTATGTAACCATGAACTTTACTAAATTCTAGGCAAGAAGTGAGCCTGGCCCTCTTGTTCTCTTCCATCATTCTCATTAACATTTTTATGGTACCTACAAAGGCTCTCTGTTGGTGGCAGCTAAGGATTCAAAGATAAGCAAGGCAGTTCTGCCACAACTGACACACAAGAGACTGTTAATGAAACAAAATATTTTGAGAGCAGGAAGAAAGTTACCTATTCTGGCATGAAAGTCCAGGAAAATGACCAGGCGCAGTGGCTCACGCCTATAATCCCAGCACTTTGGGAGGCTGAGGCGGGCAGACCACCTGAGGTCAGGAGTTCGAGACCAGCCTGGGCAACATGATGAAACTCCGTCTCTACTAAAAATACCAAAAATCAGCCAGGTGCAGTGGCGGGCGCCTGTAATCCTAGCTACTCAGGAGGCTGAGACAGGAGAATCGCTTGAATCCGGGAGGTGGAGGTTGCAGTGAGCTGAGATCAAGTCATTGCATTCCAGCCTGGGCAACGAGCGAAACTGTTCCCCACCTACCCTGTCAAAAAAATAAAAGTCCAGGAAAACTTCCTGGGAAAAAAAGTGTTACCTGCATTTAATCTTAAAGGAAGGATAGACCTTTCCCAGGCAAGGAGAAATTCATTCCAGGTGGATGGGATGTTTCTGAGGAGAAACAGATTGATAAATAGCATGGTGTATAATGCACTAGAGCTGTTTGGGATTGGAGGCAGGCTGAGGTCAGAGCCAGTTAGGGAGCTCCCAAAAACCATTTCTCAGCCCTTTTTCACATCATGGCAGGGAACCATTTGAAACAACATTGAGGTAAGGGGAGGCAGCTGCTTCAGCCTGGAGGCTATTGGCTCGGAAATTCTAGCTGCCCCAGTTTGATGTGCTTATTAGATGTTCGTATGGTGATAATTGAATGGAGATTTTGAGTCAGGGCTTGATAGGAAGGTCTGGACTGCAGATATAAATGGGAATCATCTGCATATAGACAGTATTAAAGTCGGGACTGCCGGGGCCGGGCGTGGTGGCTGAAGCCTGTAATCCCAGCACTTTGGGAGGCCGAGACGGGTGGATCACGAGGTCAGGAGATCGAGACCATCCTGGCTAACACGGTGAAACCCCGTCTCTACTAAAAAAAATACAAAAAACTAGCTGGGCGAGGTGGCGGTCGCCTGTAGTCCCAGCTACTCGGGAGGCTGAGCCAGGAGAATGGTGTGAACCTGGGAGGCGGAGCTTGCAGTGAGCTGAGATCCTGCCACTGCACTCCAGCCTGGGCGACAGAGCGAGACTCATCTCAAAAAAAAAAAAGTGGGGACTGCCTGTGGTGAGCAAGAAGAGAGTAGAAGCCTTCCCGCCCCTGGGACTGAGCCCATAGGAACTCTAAAATTAAATGACCCCAGCAAAGGAGACTACAAAGAAGTGGTTGGTGGGATAGGGCACTGGCACCCAGGGGAAAATGATGAAGTCATCCCTCAGAACTTGAAAATACATACAGTCATCTGCGTATTCTCAAGGGATTGGTTCCAGGACCCTCCACAGATAATCAAAATTCACAAATGCTCAAATCTCTTATATAAAATGGCACATTTGCATATAACCTAGGCACATCCTCCAGTGTGTTTTAAATCATATCTAGATTACTTGTGATACCTACTGCAGTGTAAATACTATGCGAGTAGTTATTATACTGTATTGTTTAGGAAATAAATGTTAAGAGGAGAATGTCTATACATGTTCAGTACAAATGCAACCATCATAGGCTTAACTACATTTTCCATCCACAGTTGGTTGAATCCATGGATGCCAAACCCATGGATACGGAGGGCTGATGGTATAAGCTTTCACTCTTAAGAGTACAAGATTTCTATTTTAGCAAATAAGGTATCAGTGGAGAGTAGGCAAAGTAAACTTAAAGGGAAGAAACGACTCCCTGCCAGCAGGACTTGGCTATAACCTAATTGAAAATGTTAACACATTTAAATAAAGAATGTTGTCAGCCTAGCTGTGTGTGGTGGCTAATGCCTGTAATCCCAGCACTTTGGGAGGCAGAGGTGAGTGGATCACTCAAAGTCGGGAGTTCGAGACCAGCCTGGCCAACATGGGGAAACCCTGTCTCCATTAAAAATACAAAAGTTAGCGGGGCGTGGTGGCTCACGCCTGTAATCCCAGCCCTTTGGGAGGCCGAGGTGGGCGGATCACAAGGTCAGGAGATCAAGACCATCCTGGGTAACACAGTGAAACCTGTCTCTACTAAAAATACAAAAAATTAGCCGGGCGTGGTGGTGGGTGCCTGTAGTCCCAGCTACTGGGTAGGCTGAGGCAGGAGAATGGCGTGAACCCGGGAGGTGGAGCTTGCAGTGAGTCGAGATCGCACCACTGCACTCTAGCCTGGGTGACGGAGAAAGACTATCTCAAAAAAAAAAAAAAAAAAAAAAAAAAAAAACAGAAGCGGGGGCAGGAATGAAAGCCTTATAAAGGGAGATTTCCTGAGGCCAGTCCAAGCACCATCCTGGAAAGCCATCAGATTCATAGTAGTCCAGGAGTGCTGGCAAGGCTGCCCATAGCAAAGAGGTGGGGGTAGAAGATTATTGCCAAGAAGAGTTTTCTGAACCCATTGGCATGGCTCCTTATTGCAGATGGCCAGATGCCATTAAAGATACAAATCCTCCAGTAATGTCATTGTGCATTTATACATTGACATTATGATTCTGATTTGGCTTCGGGGAGAGAATATACTAGACATGTAGATAGGAGTTTTCAGTCTGAGTAACAGTTAAATATTTATGATAAATTAATATTTATGTATTATGGCTTTATATTTCAGAAGACTGTGAACTTTGTTGGCATGAATGATTGTTTCCAAGATCTAGCTTTGGAGTCTGCAAAGCCCAGGCCCATGTCCCTGTCAGATGTAAATTCAACCTGTCAAATGTTACCTGTGTGGTCTCTTTGGACATAGCCTGTCAGCTTTCTCCATGTATGTATCTCAGCATTCTGAAGCCTCCACATTTAGTAAGGTAGAATCACATGCTATTAGATCTGAGAGGAGCCTGATGCAGCATCTAGTACAAGCCCCCCTTTTCCAGATGAGAAACCTGAAGTTCACAGATGTGGAGAACTTGACCAAGAATTGACAGCTTGTTAGCAGTGAGAACCCAGGTCCAAACCCATGTCAGTGCTGTCCAGAAGGTCCTGATCTTATCTGACATAGGCACATTCAGGATGTATTTTCCCCAGTCACCGCATTTCCTCTCACTCCTTCGGCAGGGATGGTTATCAAATGTCAC